ACATTCATCTGCTGAAAGTGGAATTGTAATTGGTTGGTGGATTGTAAGGGGCGGGGCCTTCCAGCAGGATTTGTGACATCACAAATATTCATAAGTTAGGGACCTGCATTCTGCAAACACACTGCTAAATAGCACTAAAACCTACATGCTTTCTTCTTTCCTAAGTGAAGTTGCATTAACCAAAATACCTTTTTAAGTGGACTGTTAATACAAAATATGTATGTGTGTATGTGTATGTGTGTGTCAGATGAGAAATATCTTTGTTGAGGACAGTTGCCTGGGAGCATTAACACTGTATGAATGTGTGTGAATGAGTGAATGTGACATGTAGTGTAAAGGGCTTTTAAGTGGTCAGAAGACTACAAAGGTGCTATATAAATGCATTCAATTTACCATTTGCCTTTGTTTCTTGGAACTGGTTAATTGTCTGAGGATTCAGGTTCACAGTTTAGATGATTAAAGAACAGGCTTGATGAGGAGAAAATGTCAATATTGATGAAGCTGTGAAATCAATAGGCCTAATGTAGTCACTGTGACTGATGCTGCATTGCTACAGCAAGACAGGATGTGACGATAAACAAATTGGAATATTGACTTGTTGAATACACACACTGCTTTTCTGTTAAAATAATAATAAATATAGATTTCCTGCTATACAGTTTATAGTTTAGGATCAGGTGAAGTCAGGGTTTAGCATTAAGGTCAGGATTAATCATTGATCTCTTCAAAACCAGATCTATCAATTCATGCCTGTAAGAATTAGCTAATGTTTTGTCTTTCAATCTATCATTCCCATCATGCAAATGGTTTATGATTCTTTGTCATTTGCATTGACAAAAACTGCCTCAAACCTTAAATCTGCTGCAGGACATCTTTCCCTGAGCCCCCACGTTTCCTCCTGTTCAGTTATTTATAACTTGTGTGGATTTGTCTCAGCAGCTGAGAGGAATTAATCCCAGGAATGCAGTTTCCTGCTGCAAGAGTTACCTTGTATGGCAGCAATGGATAGATGGGAGAAAAGAGATGAACTTCATGTAGTAAGAGAGGACAAGAGGGAGGAGAGACAAAAACACTCAGACAAGGCTGATGGGCAGAAACAAAGTCAATCACACGGGATCTTCTGCGGGGATAAGCAGAGAGAAAGAATATTTTACAACTGACCAAAAACACTCAACTAAAGCTAGAGCTGGTGAAACACCTTTGTCTGCAACAGTTTAGTCCTGTAGAGTTATGATGAGTAATAGCCACCATGATGGACGTGGTTTTCCTGAAACTGTCTCCCAGCATTGCTCCTAATGGATTGCTCAATAAAAGATGATTGCTGATGCAGGGCAGGCAGCTGATGAAAGGCTGCCATGTGACACCCCGGCCCGTTTGAAGCACACGGTTCCACC